ATGGATGGATGGACGGATGGATGGGTGGATGGAGGGGTGGATGGATGGATGGATGGATGGAGGAGTGGATGGATGGATGGACAGATGGAGGGGTAGATGGATGGATGGATGGGTGGGTGGGTGGAGGGGTGGATGGGTGAATAGATGGATGGGTGGTTGGGTGGAGGGGTAGATAGATGGATGGATGGGGGATGGAGGGGAGGATGGATGGATGGATGGATGGACGGATGGAGGGGTGGGGGAAAGGGTTTCACTATGCAGCTCAGGCTGGTTCTGAACTTGCAGCAATCCTCCTACCTCAGCCTCCTAAGTGCTGGGATCATGGGTGCACCTCTAAGCTCAGAGAGATTTGCTTTATTCTTACTGGCTTGTTTTATGTTTCCTTAGACACTTGATAACTATTTGTCAGGGCGCCCATGTTTCAGGGCGCTGATTACAAAATAAGTAAGGCTAGACTTGACAACCTCAGAGCCCCTCTTTCTCAACCTCTGCTATTGCTCAGAGTTAACAGAAACAGACTGTGACACTGATGCTGATCACCTGCCACCTGCCCTCCTCCCTGGGACATGTTGCAACTGTCTAGCACCTGAAAAAGCTACCTTGGCATGGAGCAGCCAGGGTAAAGGTGGTTACCTGGCACTGCCTTCAAAAAACAAACGTACACTCAAAACAGAGGAAAAAACGTGTGAGCATCAGAGTCACCTGCGTGCTGACCCTACCAACATAAGTACAGCCACTGTGGTTACAAAAAAAAAAAAGTTTTTTTTTTGCCAGGTGTGATGGCGCATGCCTGTCATCCCAGCACTCAGGAGGCTGAGGCAGGAGGATCACCACAGTAAGTGTGAGGCCATCTTGGGCTACCTAGTGAGACCCTGCCTCAAAAACAAAGGCTCCCCCAATGCATAACCAACCTCCCCCTCAGCCCAGATGAATGAACGGAATACGCAGATGCAGATCCCAGGAAGCCAGGCCCTTTCCACCATAAGGGACAACGAGCTGATGAGCAGTGCAGTGGGGAAACCTGCATCTTTCTGTGTCCCTCCCCTCTACCCCTTACTATAAAAGCCCCTTGCATGCTGCACACAGGGAGGTGGGGATTTCAGCCAAACACCCCCCCGCCTCCTCAGGCCAAGCTGTCCTTTCACCTTTTAACCAAAATACATGGCCTCCTTTGATTTGGCCAGGGGCCAACGACTACACAAACCTGAGAACAGGCGCCTAAGTGGCCGGTAACACCAGCATCCTGAGAGGCTGAGGCAGGAGGATCCCCATTCGAAGCCCAGCCTGGGCTACTTAGCCACTTAGCCAGACCCTGTCTCAAAATGAAAAGGTGGGGTGTTGGCTTTGGCGGGTCTCCAGGATTCTCTCGGGTGCTGAGGAGGCCCCACTCCCATTGCGGGGGGGGGCCGGGCGGGGGGGGGGCGCTGCTGTGTTACCCTAGAGCCGGAGTTCCCCAGGCCCTGGAAATTCCCCAGGCCAGGGCTGCAGTGAGGCTTTATTGTCCCTGCACCTGGCTGCCCCGGGCCCCTCCTCCAGCTCAGCTGCTCTTAGAGGCTTCCCTGGCTGATCCCGGCTCCCTCCTAATCCTTCTTAGCGGCTAAAAATAGCCGTGGGCAGAGAGAAAGAGAGCTGGGCTTTGTACACCCTCAGGGCCGCGGCGGATGAGCAGAGGATTCCTGGGCTTCCGTGACCAGCTGGAGCGCAGGCCTGAGCCCCTGCTCCCCTCAACCCCCGGCGCCGCAGGCCCTCAGCAGGGGGCTGCGCGTGGGGAGTGGTTTTGTTGTAGGCTGACTGGAAGCCCGGGCCTTGCTCGGACTGGGAAATAGGAAACCATTCAGGCCGCGGAGCCCGCACTACCACTCAGCCTGGCCCGCTGCCCGGGTCACCTTGCGGGAGGCCCAGGCGTTTAACACCTGAGGTGGCGCGCCAGCGCTTACTCATAGATAAGCACTGCGCCGGCACGAGCCCTGGCTGTCCCTCCCAGGCGGCTCTGGCGGGAGCAGAGTGGTAATCACTAGAGACGCAGCCAGCCAGCAACACCACTGCGCTGCTTCCTCCCAGACACCTCACAAGAGCTTAGTCTGGGGCCCTGCCTTGCATACTCAAGTACTTCTCCATATCCCAGCCTCCTGCGTTCCCTCCACCCGCCTAGCTCATCCACAGCAAGGGCTGCTTGCTGGACCTCCAACTCAACCACCTCGTTCCGGCCCCAGGACCTTTGCATGTGCTAGCAGCATAACAGGTTCACACTATTTAGTGTCACAATGATGCCGTAGTATAGACGCTGATCAGTTTTCCAAGTGTTTGTGTGGAACAAATTTCC